CTTTCATATTTTAGGCCTTTATACGCAACATATATTTTTTTTGTAGATTTTTTAAAAAAGTATTTCAGTGCATTATTTACAATTTTAAAAAAAGTGCAAATAGGACCATGGGTAGTGTACCTTGGACCAGCTATTTCTAGATTTAAAAAATCTAACCGAATAGTTTGAACATAAACATTTATTGGTATTTTAGCTACAGAAAAATGTTAATGAGCTCTTTTACTTAATGAGGTCTTAGATAAGACCGAATATAAAATTATGACAGCAACAGTTTCATTCCTATGAGTAGGCTTAACCAACATTGTAATTAGACAAGTCATTTCCAAATGTTAATTTCCGAAGCTGCCTTTCAGATCCTCCAGTCAACACGGGATGTGGTAACTTCCACATTACATCACATTTTTCCACAACATAAGTGGTAGACCATGTAGTGGTCATGCACCAAGGTACACCACTTGGGCATGGTCCAAGGTACACCACTTGGCCATTTCATGGAAAATGGCTGACTACTAAATTGAGGTTAGACTTAACATAATTTCTAACACATGTTATTATAGCTAAAACTGTGCTTTATAAGTTAGGCATTTTACTATAAAGTAATTGATGTATGTTTAGGAACTATTAACACAAAATTCAACAGGAAAAAAATTACTTTCGATGGGTCAATTTCCTTTTTCAGGATTCATTCATTCAAATGAGCACCTTGACAAATAAGTTCAGGTACACTGGGACCTCTGGTGGCAAGTGTACAAAATACATATAACATTTTCTATACATCTATACAAATGGCGCTAAAATCGGCATAGGTTCAAGGTACACTTATGTCCAAGGTACACCACCTTCCCCTATCTTGTGCCAACTAATTGTTATTTTTCCTTCTTTTTCTAACCCGTTTATTGACGACACAATTTCGGTAATCGCAAACAATGAAATGTGCCTTTTAAGCATTCTGTTCTTAGTATAAATATGCACACGGTATCTCTTTGTACTATATCGATAACGCTGTACAACTTTGTGATTGATATTTCCCCCTATTTTGTACCGTTTTCGAGATAAAAATGCTAACTCCGAGGTTTGCCACCAGGTGGCGCTGTAAGTGATCTCATTGTATAGCGCACATACGTTTTACTATACCTAAACACTATTTTCACAAATATAGTTGCCGTCCTTCTGAAGATAAGGGAGGGGGGTCCTTATTTAATTGGGCACCCTGTATGTTTCGGAGGTGCTGAGTCTGGTCACTTTGTTCCAGGAACCCATTTTGCGCTCAGTCAGGAAGGGACTATTTATTTTCCTTTACCAAGTCTGATTTAACGTAGCGAGGAATTAAAATATATTTGTGAAGTAATGTGTTTATAATGTGTTGGATCACCATATGTGGATGGTAAAAGGCAAGACACTGTGCTTACTCAGTCTAGATAATAAATCAAAATATAATTTCTTTATTTGCTTCATCTCAGAAAAGGATATCACATGCTTTCTGAAAGAAATTTTTATAGCCGAAAAATTCTATTACAATTACTGCAAAATGCTACCTTTCTTTTATTTGAGCACTAATTACATTTCAGTATTTTTTTTCTTAAGTCCGCACTGAATTTCCATAAAAACAGTTAAAAATATTTTGCAGATTGTAGGAGGAAAACATTCCATTTTAATTCAGTGTATCCAATTAAAATATTCATTTTCTTAGTGAAAGTGAATGTTCTTAGTTTTTTGAACATTTTAGTTATTGAATATTTCACAAAAACATCAGTAAATCTTCAAAAAAAATTATAATAATGCAATTGGTTAATAATTAAAACACATATTCTTAAAAACTCGAAGAACTTTCTTTTATTCATTCATTCAACACACAAGAGAGCCGACTCAACCTTTTGGTTTTAGAGCTTAGATTAACTCTCCGGGAGAGAACTTTTTTGAATTCAAATATATTATAGAATTTTAGTGCTTCATAACACTTGCAAGTGGAGACAATTAAAGCTCCCGTGAAATACGTGAAATGAGCCTCCAAAGATTTATTATCGAATTAATTGTTCATCTTGCGGAAGGAAAATGTTTGATGATAGATGATACATTCAATTACGTATGTCATTAGAATGTAACATTATATCAGATAACTCAACCTGAAATCTGCAAATAATGTGAATTATTAATATCTTGGAACAAAAAGTTGACTTGGAAATAGCTGAAAAAGTCGATCGCAAGTTATGAATGTTGATTCTTAATAATTAAATTAATTTAGTAAAAACAGTTTATAAAAACAACGAAAAATTAGAAATAATTTTTTATTTTATTTATTTTCTGCTTTTTTATCTTTAATTTATAATTAACTAGAAGTTCGTTAAAAAAAAGCATTTTAATATCAAAATCTATATTTATTGCATAAAATATTACTAAATGTACCAAATTATACAGAAAATTATAGTGAATATACAATAAATATCACAAAATATAGTTCTCAATCCTATTGATTATGTTTTTCCAAGCTCTCTAAAAACCGCTTGCAGTGATTTGTTTCCTGCTCCCTTCTCAAAACCCCGGACTACTGGAGAAGCCAGATTGTCGCAATGCCGGAATATAGAGAGGCAATAGTACTTGTTGTGTCTAATGTTAGCGCAATAAATAAATAAATAAATCATATGCATCTAAGTAAAGTTGAATCTTGATTGAAACTTCATGAGCTAATCGTTCACATGACTTATTGACACACCTGAGCCTGAGGTAAGAAAACTGACAGCTACAACATATTTCGTTTACGAAATGGTGTCGATTACTTCTTTTGATTACTTATTATGAGACGGAAACCTAAGGGGGCGTAGCTCAGATGGTAGGGGTGCTCGCCTATCATGAAAGGTACCGGGATCTATTATGCTATTGTTGTTTCTATATATCTGTGGTCGCTTAAGGAGATTTCTTCTAGGACCTCCCAATTAATGGAAGAATCTATAAGTGATTAGGAGCATAAAGTCAGATCTGGCCAGCCAACACTGTTATTTCTATGGAAGGTTGGTAGAGCATCTGGTTTATTGATGGTGTTTAAGTTATTAGCCAAGATAAAGTTCAGGATATCTTTACTTCGATTGTCATTTGATCTGTAGCCCCAGACGGTATTATGTCCATTGAGATCGGAGCCAATTACGATCTTTTCCTCTGGTAAGCTGGAGATGATCTCCTGTATTTCCTTTAAAGTTGTATGAACGTTTCGTGCGGGTGAGGAGTAGGCTGAAATTATTGTTAAGGGAATGATGTCGTCTGGATTTCAAGAGCTACAATGTTCACTTTTGTTGCCAACAAGGCAGATTTTAATTGAGATGAAGGTATTAGGATTGCATCCTTCTGATTTGAGGAGCTAAATGTTTTCCAAGTTTGAGGGATTCCGTTATTATTATTGTATTGTTCTTGCACCATGATTACCTCTGGCTTGATCGTGCTTGCTGTTAAATGGAGTTGATTGGTGGCTGCTTTTGCTCTAGCTAAGTTGATTTGAAGAATTTTTAGGGACTCATTTAAATTACTAAATGATGTCAGTAACCGCTTTTGAGTGTAAATTGGAAGACATCGACCGAAGGGGCCGTAGCTCAGATGGTAGAGCGTTCGCCCTGCATGCAAGGGGTAACGGGATCGATGGCAGGCGCCTCCATTTTGGTGCTTCAATCAGAAAGCCAACAGCTACAGCATCTTTCGTTTACCAAATGAGTAGTAATACGCGCGCTGCGTTGCCGGTAGAATCAGGACCTCAACAAAATGGGAAAAAATGTCCGCAATGACACAAAAAAGTTTTGAAAACAAAATCAAAACGAAAGATACCCACTATTGATTTTTCCGCTTATTTTTCTTTGCGATAATGACATTTGAGCGGTAGGAAAACAATACAGAGTAGGTTGATCCAAAACGATATTAAAAAATTGAAACGTGGAAATCATTTTTAGACAGCAAGAAAAATATGCGAGACAAAGTAACATGTTAAGACACTTCCGATAGCAATATGCGTACGGCGTTGCCCATTGAGTCAGGAGTTCAACAAAATAAGATATAAAAGCCCACATATGATTACATATATGAAAGTTTTGGAAACGAAATCAGAACAGAAATGTATATATTATTGAGTTTGCCCGCTTCTTTTTTCTCTCGACAATTACGCGAATGTAATGACATCACCGGAAGGAATAGGATTGTAGAAATGCATGCTGGTAACGAAAGCATATTACGTTACCTCCTGCGAGGAAGGTCACGCACCAGCCAATGAAATTGCAACAATGCATTCTTGGATCGTCCGGAGAAATTCTTTCTGTCAAATCTTGCTAGCAAAAAAATTGTTTGAACTGATCAGGGAAAAATTAATTTAAAAAACGGAATAAGATATTTTTACCGTTCTTGTTTTAAATACGACAGAAACGTTCCAGTTATAAACTGAAAAATGAAGTTATAGAGTTGTTAGTATGGCAGATGCGAGATTTTGAAGAAACCCTTATCAAAAATTACCAGAAAAGTGACTGTTTTTCAAAAACTTTTCAAAATTCAGTAAATTACATTAGACGTACGGAACAACCCTATTAGCACAGGATATTGTACGATATCCTCACAATGTTATTCGATATTCTGAATACCGCACAATATCGTGAGGATATCGTAGCAATATTGTACAGCATCTTGTGCTAATAGGGAAACTTCATTAGAACATAAATCGTTTGCTTGTTCCGACGGTTCATCTATGTTTTCGTACATTTATCCGAAACCATGCAATTGAGAAATTTGTGCAAAAAATCGCCCAAAACAACACAAAATATTAAATATAAAATTTTCTCAATAAAATCTTAAAATACCGGCTTCGAGGTGCATTGAATCAGCATTACGACTAACTGTGTGCCAAATTTCATAACTTTAAGTGCGACAGATTCGTCTGGACATCGCACACAAGCGGACAGACACACAAAATTTCCTTTTATAAGTATAGATGTTAGTCACTGCTTTTGAGTGCAAATTGGAAGACGTCTACCGAAGGGGGCTTAGCTCAGAAGGTAGAGCGCTAGCTTAGCATGCGACAGGTATAGGGGTCGATACCCGACGCCTCCATTTTGGAATTTCATTCAGAAAGCCAAGAGCTACATCATATTTCGTTTACTAAATGATGTCATTAACTGCTTTTGAATGCAAATTGGAAGACATCGACCGAAGGAGGCGTAGCTCAGATGGTAGAGCGGTCCCTTAGCATGCGAGAAGTGCCGGGATCGAAAACCTGCGCCTCCGTTTTGGGATTTCATTCATCAAGCCAATGGATACAGCGGGTTTTCTTAACAAATTGATGTTAATAACTGCTTTTGAGTACAAATTAAAAGACAACGACAGAAGGGGCGTAGTTCAGATGGTAGAGCGCTCGCACAGCATTAACACCACCAAATTCCCCTGATGCCCATAACCTCTAGGGCCCTCTTACCAGCCTGATAAGCATGCAGTTGAAAGGCGAACATAAACCTCCATTGGGCCAGGGCCCCATCGGTACTTTATTTATGAATTAGAAAGTAAGTTTTACATGAGGGTTACAGGTAATGTAATCTTGATTAACCTAAGTGCACATACAAACACAAACGGTTACAATCATAAAAACATACAGCACAGAAAACCAACAGATAAGATTACAGGTTGAATAAATTGGATGGTAGGATTAAAATTCTTTATATGTAACTAAATTGGTTGTTCAGACAGATGTAGTCCCCAGACAAGATTCGGGAACTTTCACTATACGTTTATGGATTATTTATAACTGGCAATAAGCTGACGGAGTTTCCCGTGGCCTACTGAATTCAACAGAATAAAAAAAGCCCACAATGACATAAAATGAAGTTTTAAAAACGAAATCAAAACAGATAAAATGTAATAGAATGAAAACCTAATGAGTTTTTGAATGTTTTCAAATGGGCTAATACACTTGAAAAGATAAAGACAAACATAATTTCTTTGATATTCGTCTATGGATTGGATGGACAGCGTACACCCGCCCAAGAGCATCACTGGATCTTATTTTTGCTTCTTCCAGTACAGCCTGCCCTTGTTTTCGACGTAGCCATGTCTTGTTTCCATTGTTCAAAGTGTAGTACTTGGATACTTCATTGTGCAATAGGGTGCACACATACTCATCTTGGGTTCAAAGTCTGAAGACAGATGTGAGTGTTGCTTCCTCGGGTGCTTGCGCACGTTAAGCAGCATTTTCTGTCGTGAAGTAGATTCTCTGACTATTTTAGAAGGTGGACGCTTGGATGAATCACGGTGGGGTGTCACTCGTGAATAGCGAGGACAATTTTTTAAATTTAATGTTTGGTTTTACATGATCATTATTTCTCATGGGGCGGCCAAAAGCGTGCGAAAAATCACGCAAGATGACACAAAACAATAAATAAAATATTTTCCAGATTAAATTTTAAAATTTGGGCTTAAAGATGCATTGAGTCACCATTACGACCACCTGTATGGCGAATCTCAAGGCTGTTAGGTCAATATTTTTAGTTTAAACATCGCACACATAAACACACAAACATTGCCTTTTATAAGTATAAATTAATATACGCAATATCTCATGCAGCTTGCTTTACAGATTCCACAAAATTTTGGTGAAATAAAATATGAAAGCAAAATGTATTAGGGTATAACTCAGCTTTATCAACAGTGAAAGAGAAACACGCAATTAAATATTTGTTTAAACAATAAAATCGATTTCAATTGCGTTGCAACAATGAAAAGTATTATTGTAGATTAAACCAAAAACTATCTTTAAAAATTTATTAAAATTAGATAAAATCTTGTATTGTAACTTTTTCGTTTAAACCAAACTTTTAGACGTTTAAAATAAACTTCATTAGAACGGAAATTGTTTGTTCTTTCTTATGGTGCATTTATTCTTTTGATACGATTATTAGAAAAAAATGCAATGGAGAAATGAGTAAGAAAAATCACTCATAATACCACAAAATATGAAATAAAAAGTTTTCTAGGTTGAATTTCAAAATTCGGGCTTCGAGATGCATTCAGTCACCATTAGTACTATCTATGTGCCAAATTTCAGGGCTGTAAGTGCAATATTTTACGTCTAAACATCCCACACACATACACACAAACATTGCCTTTTATATAGATAGAGATTATTACGCAAATTACGAAATTCTGGGACCAGTTGTTTCTCAAATTCATCACCAGGTGGCGCCAAACATACAGAACAAAAATTTAATTAAATTTATCATTTAATTGATAATTATGTCCGGAAAATATTAAATCGGTTTATTGTCGGCCAGAATACGAAAGTGCAAAAAATTTCATAACGTGTACAACAGGAACTGAGTGAGAAATCGATTGCGAAGTTCTATGTTTACTCACAGGAAACAATTCAAGTGTGTAAGTAAAAAGTCTATTCAACTTTTAACTAAGAAAGAAACCTTTCTTTTTACATTTATACAAGATTATTTTTTTCAAAATTTTTCTACGAGACTTAAGCCTTAATGAATTAAGGATAAATATTAGTAAACAACTAACTAAACATCACAAAACATCGAAAAAAATTCCTACCGCCACCAGCTGTATTGAAAAGCAATTCATTGTTTCGGTTGTTTGTCATTTTCCAGGTTATAAGTAAAATCACACACAAGTCTCTCTCGATCCGAGTAAGGAATTTTCTCCGTGATTTACTCTCTATCATTCTTCTTTACTGTCATTATTTTGGACAGCTTGTCATTCAGATCGAAACCAGATGACTTCGGTGGATTATGTCTGTGTTATATACAGTGAACTAATTAAGTAATGAGACTGTATTTTTGAAAAGGTCTCTCTCATTCTGATGGATAAAAACTATATTAATTTGAAAGTATATTTTCATATCTTCCGACCAGACTGACAGACTTTCAAAGATAAAATTGCAGCATTTATTCGAAAGCATTGGCTCGAAAAGCTGTGTGAATTGACAGGCAATACTCATTACTACCAAATATAATCATTAGCATGCCATCATCAGGCTTGGATGATTTAAGCTCTGAAATGTACTGCGATTATTGCTCTTTTCGGAGACTAATTATTCAGTGATATGCAATTATCAGGTACTTACTGTCGCATTTGAAAGACGTAAAATGTAATTATGCTCAGAATAAGATTTCATGTCAAAACTCGAAATGAATGTTTAGAAAATAGTAAAAAATTTCTTAGGAATGTCAGGCATGCTTTTAAAATGTCAGTAGTTATGTTCCTTTCTTATGTTTATTTGGATAAAAAAAACAATGTACAAGAAGTTTGTAAATATGAGGTTTGGATTCAAATACATTTTAAAGATTTTTAACTTTAAAGAATTTGTTTTCACTATTTAGTTAACAAGCAAATATTTTTCTTCAAAATAAGATTAATTTTTGCGTATTTAATCTTTCTTTTGAGAAATTATTCTTTCCATAGTTTCAAATCGCTGCCAAAAACAATTTTTTTTCTTATCTTAAAGAAAAATCGTTTGTAAGTTTCTGAGGAAACGAATTCAATTCTTCAGATAATTAAAATTTCATCTTAAAATAATATAAAGAAATTAATAAAAGCATAAAAAATGTTTAGTTTACTGATTGGGCAAGAAGTAGGAGAGGCTTATATTAAAGAAACAAGTATTATAAAATTAAGCATTATAATGCATTCTAAGAATAGCAAACGTTATTTAACGTTTTGCTATCATAGGGAATATTTAATATTTTCAGGATTTTTTAGTAATTTGAAGGACAGGAGCTCTTTAAATGTCAAACTCAAAAGTAGAACTATTAAGGGTAAAGCTATTTTAAAGTCCACTCCCCACATTGCTGATAAAATGTAATGATTATCTAATTTCAGAAACATATTAGATTAAAAGAAAAGAGAAACTGTATTAATATCATTATTACAAAATACCTAGTGTATCCAATAATTAAACAAACTAGACCACTTGCGTGACATTAAGATGATCTTTGCCCATGTGCACTATCTGCCTTGTTGTCGGGGGATCCAATGGAGCATCAAAACCTTCAGACCATTGAGGCAAGCGTAGACCTAACGTTTCAACTGCGTGCGTGCGTGTAAGTAAGAAAGCAGCTATTTTCAACTAGACAAAACATTTGAGTGGGACCGTGAAAACTGAAGGGAGAAAACCATTGTCGATGGAAACATCGAACTCATACTTTCTCTTGTGCTTGCCAGTTGATTTCTGATGGATTCAATCTATGAAAATTGTCTGTGTGCATGATTTTGAAAATAAGTTAGGGGGTTGAGAAAATTGTGCTCCAATATCGTCAAAAATTCCTGTATATTCAGCAGTGATCGTCAACAACTGTCTTATAGCAATTCAATCACTAAGTTCGATCCCCTCCCTATTGACCAGATTTATCCCCCTTTGATTTTTTACCCATTGCTGAAAGGTAAAACGGTCGTTCGGATGTGGCACGCCAAAAATGCGAGGGCAATAAGACATGAAACGAAAAAGCATCTGAAGATCCTGATTCCTGCGCATATTCAAGAGCATTTTAAACAACAGAAATGGAGATGAGACAAATGTATTGCTCCAAATGAAGTGAATTTTGAAAGGGAAAAGATTGATGTACCATAAATTTTGTAAAATAAGGCAATATTTTGGTAAATTTTAATCGCAAGACATAAAAACCAAGACAAGATTCTGGCAAATTATAACCGCAAACAGTAGTATTTCAAATAAAATCTTTAATAATTTCTGCAGAAAAATTGAAAGCCATGAAACTGAAATCGAAAAAGCTTTAGGAACTGCTAGAAATACTCTACGTGAATTGCTTAGAAATTTTCTTTGAATGTATGTAGCTACAGTACTGACATGAGTGCCTCATGCTTTTGTAATCTCTATTTCCATCTCAAGATTTTGACAAAATCAATTATTCTCTGCATTTTAGTGCATTTATAAAAGTATGATTTAATAATTTTTATTTCATGAATAATTATTCTCTATTTTTAGTAGAGTTTTAAAAGCGTCACTTTTTGTTTCATTTTATTAATAACTATTTTCTATTTTTAAATCTTTAATGTACTTCACAATTCATTTTTGTAATTATTATGGAATCTACCAATCATTTTTTTAATTCACTTCTGGCATTTTCTGACATCACTTCTGATATAGGATCAAAATTTAGCTAAAATTAGTCAATAAACTTCTTAATATGTTCTGAAAATATTAAAATATTTTCCTATTACCGAGAGCACACATATGCACAATATTTTGTAATTCTAACTCATGAGAA